GGGGGAGGGGGCGAGGGTGGGGCGCGGGCGGCAGCCTGGGGCTCGAGGCGTGGGCGCGCAGGGTCGGCCCCAGCAGCAGCCCAGCCAGCCGGCCGATATGTGGGCCATGTTGTGGTAGAAATCGGGGACATCGGCCAGCGGATGAATTCCGACGCGGGGTGAGCGTCGTGTAGCACAGTCCCCTAGTGCGCTGCGGCTTCACTTTCAGAGGAAGGGATCGGGTTGCTTCTTTAATTTCGTTGCTATCCGTCGTCTGGCATTTCGCTCCCTAAGGGGCGCATGGTGGCGGCGGCTGTGGGGTGGGGTGGGCTGGGCTGCATGCTGCACGTTGCCCGCGGCCCGCGTGGCGCACTTGGCTCTCCGCCGGGCCCCGCCGCCTCCACGGAGGCTGCGAGCCTGCTGCCCCCGAGGCCTGCGCCCGAGGCTTGCCCCCCGCGCGAAAGTGCGTGCCGATGACTCACTTCTGTACGGCAGCGTGACGTGTCACGGGTCACGCGCTCGGCTCGGCGTGGCGTGGTGTGGCGTGGCGTGGCGAGGAGCCTAATCACAGTCATGCTCACCTCCCCGGGAGGAGTTGGAGTGCGCGGGTGTGACGGCGGGGAGCGTAGCACTTGTGTTTGTCAGCCTACTCCTCCAGCAGCAGCAGCTCCAGGCTGAGCGCCCGGGGGGTAGGCCACCCTTGGTCCGGCGCGCGTCGCAGCGCTGCGGTTGCCTACCCTGCCCTTGGCAGGCGCTCTCGTCGGGCTGCTCGCGCTGCTGCTGCTCCGCGCTCCTTTTCCCTTCTCCTTTACCACATGCCCCCACTCGATATCGCCTCTGATTGTCGTCATTTTCGCTTCTGTCCCGCAGGCCGTCAAGATGGTGGTGGACAAGGCAAGCATCATGAACATCATGGGGGGCATGGAGAGCACGGCGGGGGTCCGACTGCACAACCACCGCCGGAAGCTGAGGCAGAGGTGAGGGGGAGGCCTTCTCGGGCCGTTTTGATCTGATTTGATCTCGTCTTCGCGGTGAACAGTCTAATCTGCTTGTTGTTTGTTGCTCGACTAGATTCGACATAATAAAGAAACTGGGCCAGGGAACTTATGGCAAAGTCCAGCTAGGTATTAATAAGGAAACAGGACAGGAAGTGGCCATCAAAACCATCAAGAAGAGTAAGATAGAGTCAGAAGCAGATCTGGTTCGAATCAGAAGAGAAATTCAGATTATGAGTTCTGTTCAACATCCTAATATAATTCACATTTATGAAGGTATGCGATAAATTAGTAAAACAAATGCAACTGAAGTAGAAATTGTACTTTAAATTTTATTCCTTAATTTCAATTTATCACATTGTGTTATACTTTCAGTTTTTGAAAATAGAGAAAAAATGGTTCTTGTCATGGAGTATGCTGCTGGTGGTGAACTGTATGATTTCCTGAGTGAGAGGAAGGTTCTTGGAGAGGAGGAAGCACGAAGATTATTTAGACAAATAGCCACTGCTGTTTATTATTGTCATAAGGTGAAATATTTTACGTGAAGTATCTAGTAGTTCAATACACAAATAGCATTATTGATTGTTGTTCGAGACACTTGAACTAGGCTTGTGGTAAAAGTTTGTCTTCTTTTCAGCATAAAATTTGTCATCGTGATTTAAAATTAGAAAACATATTGCTAGATGTGGATGGGAGTGCAAAGGTATGGATGGTATTCTCTCTTAGTACCCATTCCAAAAGTGTTAAATTGTATTACTTAATTACAATCTTTTTTCTTCAGATTGCTGATTTTGGATTGTCAAATGTGTTTGATGAAACAAGATTACTTGGCACATTTTGTGGGAGTCCATTATATGCATCTCCTGAAATTGTTCAGGGAACTCCATATCATGGACCTGAGGTGGATTGCTGGTAAGTCTTTCATAACAAGGCAAAAATCTGCTCTAGTTTGCTGGAAGTGAAATAACTTTTCTGTTTCCAGGTCGTTAGGTGTTCTCCTTTACACATTGGTGTATGGTGCTATGCCATTTGATGGTTCTAATTTCAAACGTTTGGTTAAACAAATATCTCAGGGAGATTACTTTGAACCTAAAAAACCATCTCGTAAGTAAATTTATGTGAATTATGTATAATATGCCCTGCGTCTTATACATCTTACCAATGAATATCCTTTTTTTTTTAGCTGCATCTCCTCTTATTAGAGAAATGCTGACAGTATCACCCGCAAAGCGTGCTGACATTGTGAAAATTTGTTCTCACTGGTGGGTTAATGAAGGCCAAAGTGAGTCCTGCCTAGATATTGCTGAACACTTAGCAAACCAAACCCCCGTTAGATTGGATCTCCTACTCTCACTAGCTCCTCCTGTGTCATCTGAACAAGTTGTTGTGACCAATGATCAGGTGTGTGTTTGATTTAAGATTTTTTTTCTCATTCCTTTTTTTTTACCCAATTATTTCATGGCTTCTTTTGTTCATGGTCCTTTCCACAGAAGGGTAATGGAGACGTAGCAGGAGCCTCTGAAGGCCCAGTTCGATCACACTCTGTCGGTAGCCTCATGGACTTAGACCAACCATCTGCAGAAAGGAGAATAAGAGACTTTGTTAACTCTACAAAGGCAGAGACTTCAAATAGCAAAAGTAAAATTTATTTCTTTGCATGAAAGATATGGATGTGATTGATTTCTTGCATTAAACTAGATATCTTCTTTTCCAGGTAATATTGACAAGATTGCAGACACACCAAAACGCAAACTTGAGGATGCTGTTTCGACTGATGATGCTAGTGTTGGAGGAGCAAAGAAGAAAGAAAGGTCACGTAGCAAACAGCGAAATAGTCGCTCAGATAGAAGATCCACAAGTCGAAGTAGGAAACAGGCTGAGACCATGGACATTGAATCTGAAAGTCTTCCTAGGAGTGATTCTAAGGACTTAACTCTCGCTGCTGCTTGTGCTATTAATGATGATTTACAAGACAAATATCCTCAACCAAATCAAAGTGAATCACCTAACAAAAATGAAGAAAAGCGAAAATCGGTGAAAGGAACGAAAAAGAAATCTAAACCTGAGAGGGATGAAAGTTCGTTATTAACACAAAATACTGCTGGTGCAGATCCGGAGACCGGTATAGCTGAAGGTAAAAGTGGAACTGAACCAACACAAGAAGCAAAGATTCCAATGGAGGAAAATTCTAAGAGTAAATCAAAACGAAAGCCAGTGGATGGAGAACAAACGAAACGAGATGTGTCTATGACATCAACAAATGAAAAATTAAGTGATAGTAGTCCAAGTGATGAAAGTGTGAGGTCTAGCCAGTCTGAGCCGTGTGTAGAAGAAGTGAGAGATGATGTGAATGGTGATGATGTGAGTGAGGGTGTAGTAAGTATTATAAGTTCTTCCACGGCACCTCCATCGTCTTTAAGTTTTAGTGATACAGGTGCTGATATTCCTAGTCTTGACAAAGCAAAAAGCCAGGGGAAGATTAGCCTATCCAAAATAATTAGTCCTACAAATGAAGTGCCAGCTGTACCTGTGCCGAACACTCCTGAAGATCCAGAACCTCCTAGAAGCACAGAGCGCAGAAAATCCAAGATATTTGAGACAGCAGAGAAGTTCAATAATCTTGCAAATGTCACTACAGAGAGAAAGGGTTCCATTGTTGAAAAGCCGAAGAAAATTCACATACCTGGCGTTAAAGTTAGTGATGCAAAAGCTGCATTTGAAAGGAAATCTTCTATCACTCCAGGTACAGCACCAGTAACAGCTACTGCTGAGCGAAAAGGTTCATTGACGTCTGTACCTGCTGGAGTGAAAAGCTCCATGTCTAAAAAGACTGTTTCTGATCAATCACAATCAGGCATTTCAGAATATTCTGCCTCTGACCCAGCACAAAGTAAAGGTATTGATGATGTCAATACAGACCTTTCAACCCAAGGTTCACCAGATGAGAATGAAAGGGCAAAGAAGGTTAAAGAAGCTGCTGGACTTATTAGTAGTGTTGTAGAAGGCCAACTCACGGGAAGGAGAGTTTCATTGAAAAACACTCCAAAACTTGGTTCACTTCATGGATCTAGGGCTGGTACACCATCAGCACCGGGCACACCTTTGTCTCCAACTGGAGTGGATCCAACTACCGGTCTGAAAACTGTACGGGTACAAGTGGCACCCAATGATATCCGTCTGGCTACAATTCAGGTACACTTCTTGAGAATTCTATTTTTTACTGCATATATTGACATTTTCTTGGGTTCTTTTCTGTATTAATAAAATACCTCTTGTAATTTTAGGTGTCTACTCCACAAGCTACCAAATATCCAGGACAAGAGCCCCCTCTTCCTAATTTAGTTCCACAATCTGGAGATGCTGATGAAACTGAACCCAAGAAAACAGCAAGCAAGATGGAAATAACACTGAAATCTGCCACTCTGCCTCGACGTAAAACATCTGAGGCCAAGATTCAAATGGGCACTCCTCCTCCAGCCAAAGCTCAAAGCCCTGAAAAACTTGTGCGTATGATTCAGGCTCCACCTTCTCCTGGGCGAAGAGCGAGTGTTGGTCCACCATTAGGTGGATATCGTAGTGAAGTGGAACATATTGTTGGAGCAGCTGATTATCCAAACAAACCAAGACACCAAAGAAGTGAAGTATCTTTCCCTGTTGCTGCTGCAAACAGTTCAACAAGGGTTCATCCAATGCCTTTCAGGTATGCCTTTCTATTTTGGATATGGAAATTTTCCTTGCCTTCAAAATATTTTCATCAGAGCTAAACATTATTACTATTTCAGATCGGCTTCATGTGAACCAGAGTCAACTAAGTCTAAACCTCGAGAACACATTATTCCCATTCATTTTGAAGCCGAAGAAAATGCAGCTCCACGAACTTCTACTCCTCCAGCTAAGCCACCTGTTCCTCCAACTACGTCTCAATCGGCTTCTGGAAACTTACCCTACCAGAGAACTCTATCTCAACTTTCACAGAGGTACAATTATTTCCACTTAAGAAAACATAAACTGATTTCTTTTCTTTTAAGGAATGTGAATTTTTACATTGATTCTCTCCAGGTCTAATAGTTTGTCAAGGCAAAGTACTCAAGACTCCGATACTGAAAGTACAATATCACAAAGTGGTGGAGAGGCCATCAGGAAGTCGCCACGGGAATATGTCATACCTATTGCCCTGGAAGGTGGTGGATATGTTACTCCCCGAGCTACAAGCTTAGAACCAAGTGAGGAGAGCAGGGCATCAACTCACAGTATTCCACGTTCTCGCCTTAGTAGCAGAACTAAGAGAATGAGGTAATCACTTTATATTCCATCGATTGAAATTCAGAAAGTTTGCTTTGCTGCTTCAATCTCTGCTATAACTGCTTATTGTTTAAGTAACTGCGCAATCAGCTAACCTTTGCTAATTTTTTGTGTTTTCTGCCTTTCTAAAACTTGGATAACAGTCGAGAAAGACATCGAAGTAAATTCAGGTAATTGTTCGCTTTTTTCTGCTTTTTCTAGTGTCTTAATATGAGCAAGTAAATGTGGGATGAGCATTTGAGACTGTATGGAAATTATTTTTCTTTATGTTTTGATGTACTGAACATTGAAAGAGTTCTAATGCTCCCCTCCACTTCTTTTTGTTTCTGTTTCTGTCAAGCAGCAGTTTGCTTAGTGAGAGTGAAGATGAAGGACCATTTGCAGCTCTGCATCGACATAGTTCCATTGGGAGGGACAGTGATAACGAGGATCGCCCATCTGCTTTCCATCTCCATCGTTTGAGGTTTGTACCCCAATGTCAATGTCATTTAAACATTATCTTGTGCAAATTACACAACTATTTTATTTAACTCTGCTCTTTTCTTTGTACATCAGAAGTTCAAGACCATCTCAACGTACACTTGAGCACACAGACAGCATGAGCTCAGCGGAAGAAGAGGATGATGATGAGGGCTTTGAGTTACTCACAGCGGAGAACCTGTTTTCATCTCTGTTATCTAGGGTACATAATTAAGAAAATATCTTCCTTAGGGTTAAAATTAGACCTGCAATGTCCTGTTTGTGAAATGTGCAATTTGCAGCCAAGTTCTAATTAATTTTCAATTTGAATTTCAGGTTCGCAGTTTAACTCAAAGACTCAATGTTGAAGATGGTGGAAGACCAGGGTTTCCATCATCAAGATTACTCAGCCAATTTGGTGCTTCTCCCGGCTCACGTACATCACCTTTTATGTTTCCATCTTCAAGTCTGCTCAGCAGAGGCTCGCCTTTTGAGCCACTGTCTCGGTTAGTAAAAGTACAGTGAATTGGCATGCATGCTTTAAAAAAACAAATTTCTTCCATTCTTCAATAATCTTATCTATGTATCTAAACTCTGAAAGATATTTGCTTATGTAATAATCCTAATGCATAAAAAAACATCTAATGTGTGTGATTGGAAATAGGAGATACTGTACTTAACATCCACTATTTTTGTGTTGTTCAGTGTACATGATTCCAGCACTCAGAGAACAGTAACAACTACATTTAAGTGAGTGTGTACTAATATCTAATTTGCACTGTGAACCATAGGCTTTTGTATCTTTGCCTTTTATGTAACCTTCCTTATAAATCTTTTGTAAATCTTATTGTAAAACTGTATTATCAAACCATACTCAATAGTGTCTCTGCTACTCTTCCTCAAATGTAATGCTTTCGCAAAACAAAAAAAAAGGAAAAGACCAACAACAAAAAAACAAAACAAAAAAAAACAAGAAGCTTTTAGAATAGTAAGACGTCAAGTGAAATAACTTTCGGTTTTATCAATTCGTTTCTGTAACTTCATTTTTAATTTTTCAGACGAATATCTGAGGCTTCCAGATCTTTCAGTCGAAACGACAGTGAAAGTGGCAGTGTAGGTCCTACTCCTTGGAGAAGAAGTGTTAGCAGAGATGTCTCTGACACGGATAGCCTTTATAGTGAATCACACAACAGTGGCACCCTCCCTAAAGGTAAGTTCTATTCTGCTGCTGACATCATCCATGTTCTCTATCAAAAAAGTCCATATGAGAGCAGTTAGTTTAAACAGACTCATTTTGGTAGCAGTTATATAAATATAGATTTTCAATCTTGAAAATTTGAATGGTGATTTTTATCTAGGGAATTAAAAAAAACTGTGTCATGTTGAGGTGCTTGGACTACCTCTCGATATTTTCATGGACCTGTGCACATAAAATGTAGAGGGAACTTGCTCACATCAAAGGTGAATTATGTAGTCAATTTCTAAGCAGTCAGCAAGAACTGTAAAGTAAAGGCCCTTATGGGGAAGACTGTTTGCAATAAGCATGAGGGAGGAATTCAGGAGCCTCCTTACATAGGTTTGTTAGGCATTTATATTTCAATTTAGTTTTATCATCGTCACACTCGTACTCCTTTCATTTGTGTTTGCTTTTTACCCCTCAATAACATTAACGTGCTGAAACTTGCATTTTAAAAAAGTGTTTGCTCTTCGCGTAGGCATAGGGCACAATTCTATTCGCTCTGCTTCTATCAGTAGAACTTTGTTCTTGTTGTTTTTGTTTTTTTATATCTACGTTGGATATATGTAGTCATTCCAATGACCAATTTATCAAAAATTGAACAAATACATAACTACAAATAAAAATAACCACATGCTTAAGTTATCTTAAAATGAAATCAATTGTTCACTGCAAAGAAAATTTGTGTCAAAGTTCTACTTGATTGGGCAAGCAGCAACCTCTTTGGCTACTTTAAGTTTTGTAGTAAATAAATCAGATGGTGAGTAAAATTGCATGATATATGTCCATCACTTTTTTTGACTTTAACAAAGTTTGTGTGTTAAAAAACCATGGAGGCTGAGAATGTATGAGTTTTTGTCTCTTGAGACGTTATTAATGAAATATTATTTTGCATTTTGAATTACGACAGTCCTCACAATCAAAGTTACATACTTTACAGAACTTGGTCAATTATCGTAGACATTTTGATGTAGTTTAAGAAATGCAGTACAGACCTGTACAAGAACCCTGCATCCATTATTGTTTTGTTTTGTAGAATTTCTGCAAGTGGGTTCAGTATTTTGCCACAGTACAAATATATGTTACACCTTGTATGTGTATGTCAGAATATTTCCACTACATTTTTCCATTTTTCCTGATGGTGGTAAATGCAAGCATCGGGTTAAATAAATGTTATGAATACTAACCATCAGCTTGTTCATCTACAGACATGAGTTATAGTTTATGGTTGTCCTCAAAAAGTATTTTTTCTTTTTAAGGTTTGTTAAAAACTTGCAACCAGAATTGTGTTACAATTTTAAAACACAGCGATTCTACTCACAGCCACGTAAACAGGCGCTCAAGTATTAGATTCAGTTACCAAGTTTATTTAATGGTATTATGCATGCCATTTGAAACACTGTTGTGGTCTATCAACTTTGTAAATACATATTATTATACCTTTGAATTTACATTCCTCACTAACTTTTTTGTGGTTTACTGTAACCCACATGTGATTTGTAACACACATTCAGAAATTGAAGTGATATATCAATTTAGGATTACTGTATGATCTATATTTTACACATTTTTAAAGCAATATTAAAATCATGTATTTTACTAGTAGCTTTCATATTTCAACTTAATTTTTTTTTTTTTGACAACTACACAAAATATTTGTACGTATTGTTTCAGTATCTATCACATTTCAATTCAAAGTGCTTTATCCCCTTGCTTTTGTGCAGTTGTCAGACTGGTAAGCTTGCTTTTATAAAGTATGTAAGTGGCCATAGCCTCAGCTTGCATGAGTGACTAGTTTGAAGAAAATGCAGCAGAACAAATAAACTGCTGGAATTTACTGATGAGTGTCCTCAAGGTATACCAATGTTGTTTTTAGGATAGGATAGAAATTCATTATAATTTATGACACTATTATAAGACCAAATAATAGATCATTGGCTGATACCGTTTCCAATTTGAACATGACGTTGTGTACTATTGTAGCCGCGTTGTTGATGGAAGGAAGATGCATATCCAGTAGTACTACAGCATATCCCTGACTCAATCTCAATAGACGATGTGATGCAAGTTCCTGATACATCTCTGCCTCACTGGTTTAGACTGCTTTTTTTTCGTTCTCGTTTGTGAAGCTCTTCTGATTGACTCTTTCTGTTGATCCCATCGACTACTACTACATTTTCTCTCTCTTTCTGATGATTTTCCAGCGAGGGTTCGTGTGAGCGTGCATGTACCAGGGGCAGGGGGGCGCAAGTTTGGAGGAGGGGGCGGCGGAGGCGGGAGCATGAGCGGAGGGAGCAGCGGGGGCAGTGTCAGTGGCGCCAGCTCCCCCACTGGCTCCTCCACCCACTAGCGCGCCCCGCCCCCTCCCACCAACCCCACGTCCAACCCCACACCCCCAACCCCACATCGGCCACATGCAACAAGCAACCAAGTGACGGTAGTTTTGTGCTAGTATGTACCTCTATAAATCTTTGCTAACATTTATTAACAAGAGTATCAATTTCTTTCTGGAATGCGGAACAACTTTATGAGTTTGTGTCATGAAACAGTTGATGCGTGCACACTTTTATCAAGAGAAAGTATATTTTTGGTCATTTAAAGAAATTCACTGTGTGTTTCAGAAAGAAGTTGTGTAGTCTTACTGCTTTGTAGAAATGTGCGAAAGCATGTAAATTGAAACAAGGCAGGGGCTAAGAGACGGGCATCAGTAAGTGTTTCTTACTGATACCGTTCCTGCCCGACCCGACGAGGACGGCGCCAGCATGTCCCCTCAACGCAGCCGGGGTGAGGGCGACGGTAACCCGCCCCAGCGGCGTCGAACTTGGCATGCGCGCAGTGTGACACTAACAGAACGCCGACGCCCTCGTCGACTTTCGCCGTCCTTCGTCGGGGGCCCCTGTGTTCTGCGCCACCCAGCCTCTGACTCTCTTCTTCTGCTCGCAGGTCGTAGCAGCGGCGACTTCAGCGAGGCCTCCTCCTTGTCGTCCTACTCGTACACGCCCAGCCTGGCGGCGCGGCTGGCGCAGTACCAGCAGGGCTCGCCGTCAGGGGCGGCCGCGCCGGAGCGCCCGCAGCACCGCACGCCCCGCTCCTACATGAAGAGCAAGTCCACCGGGACCTCGGGCGCAGACGACGTGGCCGGCCTGACGGGACGCTACCCGCGGGGCAGCGCCGCCGGCAGCAGCAGCTTCTCCAGCGCCCGGCGGGCGGCCAGCGGCGTGACCCGCGCCCTGGAGCAGGAGCTCAACGGTCTCAACATCCCCACCTCGTACCTACCGAACCCCAGCCGGGCTTCTTCTCGGGCCCTGGAAGAAGAGCTCAACGGCCTCAACATCCCGACCTCGTACCTGCCCAACCCCAGCCGGGCGTCTTCGTCGCGCGCCCTGGAGGAGGAACTCAACGGCCTCAACATCCCCACTTCGTATTTACCGCCCAGTCACGGGCCGAGCCCGAGCCGGTCCTTGGTCGGGGACGACGCCGGGGACGTGTACTCGAGCGCGGCGCGGCGCCTCGGCCTGTCCAGGACGCTGTCCATGCGGGAGCGGCCCGCGAGCCCCAGCTCCCAGTCCACCTCCTCATACAGACCGTCGTACCTGTCCTCGCTGTCCTCCCCCGGGCGCCGGCCGTACTCGTCCTACACCAGCCCGCTGTCCAGCTCCGTGTCGCTGTCCGACTCGGACCGGCCTCCGCTGCCGCGCCGCTCCTCGGGGCTCGGCCTCTCGGGCGTCGGTTTCGGCCACCAGAGCTCGTCGAGGGCGAGCGACGACGACTGCGCCTACTACGAGATACTGCCGTCCCACCGCAAGCCGGGGCGGGAGGCGCCCGTGGTCGACAGCGTCCTCACCAGGTCGTGCCCATCCAGCGCCTTCCTCGGCGACACCCCCGCACCGGCCCCGCCCGACGCCACGGAAGCCGACACCGCGTCCGTCACCAACAAGACCACCGCCAGCGCGACTCCAGCTGCGGCCGCGACCTCGCCGGCTGGGGGCACGGCCCCGGCAGAGGACAACGCCCCGCCGCCGGCCCCGGCTCAGACCGCGCGCTCCAGGTTCGGGCGGTCCGTGTCCGTGACTCGCGAGCTCCGGCCCGCGGGCTTGGGCAGCAGCAGCGTGGGCGGCTCCTCCACAGACTTGCCCGCCCTGTCGGCCTCGGCGCTGAGGAGGTCGGCGTCGACGCGCGCCACCCCGGAGCGCTCCATCCTGAGCAAGTTCTTCCGCGGAGGGTCGGCGTCGAGCGGCGACGAGCAGCCGTCCGGGTCCGGCAGGCAGCCGCGGCAGCCGGTGCAGCGCCGCATATCGCGGTTCTTGCGGCCGGACTTCTTCGACACGCCGCGCGAGGAGAGCGCGTACGCCCGCGAGCAGGACCTCCAGCGCAGCCAGAGCCGCGACCGCGCGCAGCCCGAGCCGCAGCCCGAGCCGCAGCAGCCGGTACAGCCGCAGCCTGAACCGCCGCAGCCTGCTGAGCCCAACAAGAGCAAGACGAGCAGCCGCTTCCTGCAGTCGTTGGAGCGGCGCCTGGACAGGCTGCGCACGAGCCAGCCCCAGCAGCAGGTGCCGCCCCCTCAGCCGCCGCCCCCACAGCCTCCACCCGCGCAGTCGCCGCCACCGCCGCCGCCGTCCCAGCAGCCGCAGGAGAGTCGCATCGAGTCGACGATCCGCAGCCTCCGCGAGCGCAGCCTCGAGCCCAAGGAGTGCGACGCGGCGCCCACCGAGTCCAGCCTGCTGAAGCGCGCCGTGTCCGTGAGCGACATCCCCACGGTGAACGCGCCGCCCGCGGCCCCCGCTTCGAGCGGCAGCAGGATAGCGGGCCGCGTGATGAGCCTCTTCCGCAAGGACCCGGCTGACGTCAAGCAAGGCCTCATTCCCTCCTTCAAGCCGCACCGCGCCGCGCACGCGTACTCGGGCTTCACCAGCGACAGCCTCCTGCTGGACTCGGATAGGCCCCGGGTGGGACGCGTCGCCAAGAAGACGACGGTGTCGGCGGCCTCGACACCGTCGGCGGCCTCGGCACCGTCGGCGGTCTCGGCACCGTCGGCGGCCTCGGCACCGTCGGCGGCCTCAGCACCGTCGGCGAGCACCCCGTCCAGTGGCGGCGCCGGCGGCGCCTCGGCTGACATGTCCCGGCTCGACAAGGGTCGTGATAATAACGTTTCCCTGCCTTCTTCCATGACCAAGGCTGACGCCGTGGCCGAAGCCGCCGGCGGCGCGCCAAACCAGGCCGAAGAGATCATTCCGCGAGTGACTGCAGGGGCCGCGGCCGAGAGCCAGGCGCCTCCCCTGGCGAACGGGGATGCCGCCGTCCCCAAGACTGAACCCAACTCTGCCGATTCCAAACCGAAAGTATTGCGTACTAAGTCAGGGTCCAAGGTGAGGGGGCTACTGTCGTCCAAGAGCAAGACTAAGGTCGTCAAGTCGAAGAAAGAGGCCCCTGCGGCGGAGGAGCCGGCGGCTGGCGGTGCCACCAAGCCCGAGCCGGTGCCGTCGAACCCCGAGACGGCGACCAGCAGCCAGGATGTTGTCCCTCCTCCGGTGGACCCGGTCGTAGCATCCGCTCTCGTGAAGCTGCCCGTCAAGGACACAAACACGGACACGGACACTCCGTCCAAACCCTTGCTTCGATTGAAGTTGGGCAACAAAGAAGAAGGATCTTCCGATGTTTCCTTTGTAAGATCTCTGTCCAAGACGAAGCTAGGATTAAAGGGGGACAGATCCAGTCCTCCAAAGAAGACCACGTCAAAGAGTAAGATTCCGACGGATGAAAAGATGAAAACAGTAATAAAGTCTGCGTCAAAAAGTAAACTTAGTGGATCTGTTGACAGTCGGGTGGACTGTACATTGATTGCACAGTCTCAACAGAATGGAGGGCCTCAAGTATCGAAATCCTTCTCTAAATCGGAGATGACAAAAGAAGATAGTACCTCGCGGGAGTCTCCTGTCAAATTTTCTCCTCGGACCAATGGAGACTCAAAAGAAAAGTCCCCTGTAAAACTAGCATCAAAGGCTCTGGCAGCCAAATTTGATAAGGAAATTTCTCCAATAAAATCCCTACCGCGCCCTACTCCACCAAAAGATGATACGAAACCGGCTGCCGATAAAGCAATTAGTGTGTCCTCCAGCAGGTCCTCTCCTCAAAAAGAGGAAAAGCCGAATTTCCGCAAAGAAATTTCTCCACCGAAGAAAACTTTCTCGCGCACATCCATACGAAACAAGGACGAGGCGCAGCCCTCCGTTGACAAGGAAGCTGCGCTTGTTAAATCACCATCTCGCTCTTCTGTGCGTAACAAGGAAGCAAAAGAACCTCCCGAGAGAGAAAAGTCGTGTTTAATTAAATCCTCCTCGAAGTCTTCCGTCCGTAAAGACGACACCAACACCAAAGTACTGTCGGTTTTAAAGGCTCCCGAACGTGCTTCCGAACTGAGCGTGCACTCGGACCCCGCCGCCACCCCGCTGTCCCTGATGGGAACCTCCAGGTCATCGTCCAAGAGCAAGCTGCCAAGGGTTGGCGACGACAAAGTCCTGCCGAGGACCCCCTCTAAGCCGGGCGACGAGCCCGCTAGACCGCTACTGTCGACTTCCCGCTCCGCCTCCAGGACGAAACTGGCCGACCCCGAGAGGAAGACCTCGCCCACCAAGTCTGACGACGCGGCTGCGCCGCCCGGGCCGCCGCTGAGGAAGTCGCTGTCCCGTAACGCCCTGCCCAAGGAGGAGGACGTTAAGGCCGCCGCGCCGGCCCGCTCCACGTCGAGGACGAGGCTCTTCAACAAGGCCGACTCTCCCAGCGGCTCGACCATCGATATTAGGAAATCCAACTCGAGGAGTCGTATTCTAGGCGTCGGCAAAGCCGATACGGCCAAAGAGGAGGAAGCCGGTCGGCCCAGCGTGCCCGGCCGCTCGGCCTCCAGGAGCCAGCCGTCCAATAAGAGCGACAGCTGCTGCACGCCCCCGCGGGATGAGGACGGCAACAAAAGCAAGGCTTGTGTCCCCAGTAAGGCCGAATCCCCCAAGAGGGAAGACGATGTCGTCAACGTGACCGTCTCCCCCAGCCGGTCGGGCTCTCGGAGCAGGATCGGCGCCGTTGTCACCAAATCCACGTCCAAAACCAGAGTTATCAAGGACGACTCTCCCGTGAGCAAGTCCCCGTCGAAGACCAGAGTAGTGAAGGACGACACAGTCGTCAGCAGGTCATCGTCAAAGACCAGAGTAACCAAGGACGACTCTACGGTATCAAAGTCTTTGTCAAAGACCAAAGTGCCTAAAGACGACTCTCCAGTAAGCAAATCCCCGTCCAAAGCCAGAGTAACCAAGGATGAATCTCCCAGCGGCAAATCCCCGTCGAAGAGTAGAGTGACCAAGGAAGATTCTCCATTCAGCAAATCCCCGCCCAAGGCCAAAGTGACCAAAGCGACTGCAAAGGCGAAGATCGCCGACCCCGCCACCCCCGCGCCCCAGCCAAGCGCGACTACGATTCCCACGTTGACGACGTCCCGGCCGACCGACGACGAGGTGCGGAGCACGGCGCGGTCGCTCACGCGGTCGTCCTCGCGGGGCGAAGGCTGCAGCCCCGTGCGCAGGGCCGTGTCCAGCAGCCCAGGGCTGCGGTTGGAGCACAGCCCCAGCCCGGGGCCGAGCACCCACCACCACCATCACCACCACCATCACCACGGGCTCAGGCCGGACGGCGGCCACCGCCACCGGGACAGGCACGCGCACGGGCCGCGTCCACGCAGCATGTCGCACACCCGACCCGCCGACCCGGACATGACCGTCGTGTCCCTCAAGGACGTGGAGCGCCGCCACCGGGAGATGCTGCTCGACAAGTGGTCGCAGAGCCTGCAGTCGCTGCACTCGGAGCAGGCCGCAGAGAAGGCCAAGAAGCAGCAGGAGGAGCAGGCCAAAGTCGCGGCGGAGGCAGCCGTGGCACCGGCGGCGGGCGTGCCCGCGCCCGCAGCGCCGGTGAGTGAGGTCGCCCAGTCGGCCGCCCCCGCCCCGCCCGCCGCCTCGCGCCCGCGGCCGCCTCTACATCTGGACCTGTTCCCCGTGGCGGCCCCGCGCGCCACCTCCCCGTCAGAGTCGTGGTCCGCGTGCTCGTCCCCTGCGCCATCGCCCACCCCACCGTCGCCCTCCGCCGATGATGCGCCCGAAAGCGTGAGCGACCGCATTCGGCGCAAGAGCTTCTACAGCCGCTTCAACGACATCACGAAAAAGAAGAAGAAGCCGACGACGCCTCCCGCGCCTTCGCCGTCCTCCTCGCTGCTAGGCAGCCCGTCGGCCCGCCCGCGCCCAGTCCTGGACCTGGACGAGGCCCTGTACGGCCCCACGCCCTCCACCCCTCGGCCGCGCAGGTCCCCGGGCGTGTCGCCGGTGGCGAGCATGGTGGTTATCCCGCGGCCCAAGTACAACGGCGCCCTCCTGGACACAGCGCTGTCCCCCTCCGCGGCCACGCCGTCCTCCGTCTTAGGCGGCATAGGCGTCATGGACCGGTCGCCCACCTGGGAGCGGAGTGGCATCGAGCTGCGCAACGATCTCATGTTCCACAACTATGGACTTCACCGTTTCGACCCACACAGCCTAACTGTCAACAAGGACGCCCTGCTGGGGGCCCTCTCTCCCACTGGCAGCGCTGCGGCCCTCAGCCCCAAAGTGGAAGTCAAGTCGGACGCCAAGATGGCTGCTAAGCTGGACGCCAAGGGTGAGACCAAGCTGTCCACGGTCCCTCAACCCGAGCCCACATCTGCGGAGACCAGCTGTGCTCAGGACGCGGACGGTTCCAAGACCCGAAGCACGGACCCCACCGAATGATCCTATTTGGACAGTATATCAGAAGGTACTTCCGGTCGTGTTTACGTGATTAGCTTCTTGTTCCTTTCATCTTTGGCGATTGAATGTGTGTTTTCTACTCGCTTTTCCTTTTTTATAATGTATGATGTTTTTGCCTTGAGATAGTATTATTCCAGGCTCTTCGTGGAACACTGTGATATCGTAATCAGGTTGAAGTCGGCGCCCTCTAGCCCTCGTTCTTGAAGACTGTGTCACCATGTGTTCTTGGTTTAAGTTTGATGTCGGGTTTCTTCGCTGTCTAAGTGTCCCAATTATTACTGTTGATAAAAACCTGGCCTGCCTGGCCGGCCAACTTTGGTTTGTACTTGTTGTGTGATATTTATGATGGGGAAATTGGGGCATCAAGCAAAAAGTATTTTGAAGACATTTGTATTATGAACAAAATATATTTTGTAAATTTATCTGTGTGATAGTTCAGCTCCAGAATTGTACAAAGTTTATTCTTCATCAACCTCATGTTGACATAGGGGGAATTTTATTACTGCTTATTTATTTTTCATATAAGAAGTAAAACATTGGTGCTGCTGTTTACTCTAGTGTGATGTGTGATGGAAAGTTTATAAATTGTAAGGTTTTAGTTAGTCTACTCTTAGTATTTATCATCACTCGGAGATTAAAATAAAGAGTATTCTAATGATTCATGTTCATCTACAATAGTTGTTGACAGCTTTCTGTGTTTTCTCCTAATTCTTTAGTCTCTGTTCAGAATTGCTTGCTTTGTCTGCAACTGATTAATTGCACCTTTTGGCTGTAATTTTGACTCTTTGTTCTAATTTTTTTGAAAAGACCAAAGAAACTGAATTGTGAAAGCATAATTACCACAGACTGCCTCATAGGTATATTGTTGTACTGTAAACTTAAGACTTGCCTTTCTCCTTTTTAAGGACAAAAATAGATAGTGTCTTAATTAATTACCAGTAAAACACATTGTGATCTACAATTCAGTATGCAATACTGACCCAGAGTTGGTTTTCATTACCCTTTTAAGGGTAAAAATATGTATTTAGTCTTATTAATCAAGGCTGGCCTTGCTTGTTGATTTTTTTGAAGTATATCTTCTACATGAACAGAGTCTGATACAAAAATTCAAGTCTTGGTTGTATTAAAATTAAGCAACTGCACTATACCATGTAGCACTAAGCATACTAATTAATAAATTGGATTTTCGTTATTATCCTCACATTATTTCAGGGAATGACAAGACATTCAAACAAGAAATGAACTGTGGTGCTCAATTTCTATTTTCCATTTTTGCGCAAGCTGCAAGCTATAGTTTCTGCATGCTGCTCACAGATCATGCGTGGTGTAGAGTTTTCCATTTAAGTTGATACCGTTTCTATCGTAGAATGGCATTATGTCTAGGTTAACGAAATTGTGGCAAATTAATCCTATGTGAAAAAGCATGATTGTGTGAAGTGCCTTATTTACCATTTTGTGTTTATCAGACACCTAATGTACAGTCTATATTATATAAATAAAGTGTAGAGCACTGAAACTCGATACAGTTCATTCTATCTTTTCCAGGACCCTTGTCGGTAGGCGTTTGCATATTCGTGTTATCTTTCATTCAGAGAGGACTACAAAGTGTGCCTTACTTTCTCCCCCCCCCCCCCCCTCTCTCTCTCCATTCTTTTGTTGTCGTGGGTGCGGAATCTGAAAAATTCAAATCAACTGCTGTGCACGCGCTTGCGGCGTTGCGATCATGGTATGTATGGCGTGATGGAATTCTAGAGATGTACATTTGAACGCCACTGGGCCAACTGAACGGGGCCGTCACGCCCCAGGCACATCGGCCCCGGCCGGCGTGACCTCTGCACGCACCGCCTCGTCACGCCGCCGGGCAGCAGCAGCGGCGCCCTGACCACGACCACCCGACCACGTGATCCGAATGATTTGCTGGGCCCCCTATTAGCAGTAAATTGCCGCTGTGCGCCGGGGAGCGGGGGGCGGCGGGGCGGACGCGGAGCGGTGGGCTGGGCACGCTGGGCACCGCCAGTTTGGTTGCGGTCGCAGAGGGTGTGTGTGTGGGCGGGAGGGGGGGGGGGGCAGCATGACATGCACACCACAAAGCAACGAATCGCATAACGCCTCACAAAAAGCTGGAGCCGACACCACAGCTGTGTTGGCATCCCACTCCCACTCCCCCACCCCCACCCGCTCGCCTACCAGAGCGGGCCGTTCGTCACACTTTCATCGCTGCTGCACGGCGCAGCCCGGGCGGGCCCGAGGTGGGCGGCTGAATGCCTGACCCTCCCCGGCCCGCCCCTCGATATCGCCCTCCTGCCTCAACGACCAGAGAAGCCCTGTTGCCCCGCTGTGCCATGATTCACCCACTGTCGTCGCTCCCGCCGGGGCGGCGTTTTGGGGGGTACAGGGGCGGAAAAGGGAGAGGGGGAGTAGGAGGGGGTAGTGGGAGGTGAGGGGAGGTCTTATATTGGCCCTCGTTGTCACAGCCTTACCCTGTTCGCCGTAGATTATCTCTGCGTATTTTTAGCCGCTGGCGAATCGGCGACACAATCGCCGCTCGCCCTCTTCCACCCCAACCTCGCCCCCCTCTTCCCCCCTGGCACCCATTTCCCTCAGTTTCGTTCGCGCGCGTCCTCGTTAAAGTCAACACGACGGCGCATTTTATGGCATCGCAGAGAATAGAACGGGCAGTGGGGGGGGGGGCATGGGGGGGGGGGGGGGGGGGGGGGGGGGGGGGGGGGGGGGGGGGGGGGGGGGGGGGGGCTGGCGGCGACCGTCGTAATACTCACCTGCCACGGGCTCGCCCTGCTGCTCCAAAGCCATAGGAACCCATCGCCCTCTTATTTTCTTTTACCGTGGCGGCGGCGGGGTCCTCTGTCCCAGAGCCAGGAGGGGCGGTGGCGGCGCAGGGGGCGGATAATGCTGCGGGCGCGGGGGTCGGAGGTGGGAGAGGAAGAGGGAAGCGACGTCTCTGCAGCGCTTCGCGTCCGCTCTCGCTGCTGCTGCCCGGCCCCGGGTCTGAGAACAAGAGCGGCGTAAATGACGGATGGAGACAGGCAGGGGGGTGGCGATGTCCGAGCGGAGCAGGAGGCGGGCGCCAGGCGGGGGGCGCTAGGCGGGCGCTAGGCGGGCGCTAGGCGGGCGCTAGGCGGG